ACAGGCGAATTGTGGAGGCCCTGCTGACAGCTCCAGATATTCCAACGCCACATGGAGTACGTCCAAAATCTTCAAAACATGTTGCTGGAGAAATTTATTTGGATAATGTAGGTCATTTGGTAAACAAAATTGAAAAACAATGAAGGTACAGCAAATGTTTCAAGTGTAGTAAATATCGATGCATTAAATGTAATGTAGGATATGATGTAAGCATATTTCTTTTAAGAAATATAGGTAAGATATATCTCTAAGAAAGATAAAAGTAATTTATGTCTATGTAGTATAACAGAAAAATATTAGTTATAGTTGTTTGACAAGATAGCGTAAATATTTGTTTCCGTGCAAAGAAGTATAATAACCTTGTACTAAATATTCTGAAGAAAAGCTTTGCTGATAACCAGGCTTCAATAGATAAAGTAATGATAAACAAAATAAGTTGATGATGAGAAACTAGACGATCATGCATATTTTTCCTTCACTAACGATGAAAATATTTATTTATTACCTACCAAATTTATCACAATTTCTTCATTATTAATACCATTCCTATGATTCATTTGGCGACAAATATTCACTCCACCAATTATACCAGTGTTTGAAAAAAATTGTTGGCGCTCGATCAAATATTTGTTGCATTTCTCATTCTGATAAATACCTCGCTGATAATTATTACAAGTAAACATTTCAAGAATTCGAAAACAACTTGACACTTATCAAATTTTATAACATTATAAAAGAGCTTAGTTGCTTGTTCTCCATTCAGCGCGCTGGGATGTGGTATGTAAACAATTTTTATCGGCATACATTATTGATAGGTGTTTTTGAATGATAAACGGTATGTTTACAATACCTCATAAGTGAAAATAATTACAGGCTACCTCTCAGACGATCAACGAAGCAGACCTTGGTAAACTACCTACTTGTTCGAAATTTGAAATAACTTCGACATTTTTCTCTACAATAAAGTAAGTCCCAAATGGCTCAGCTATAAATCTTCACAAGAATTATAAATCACGTGAAAATAATAAAACTTTTCAAGTTTTTTATAATGGTTTCTAAAGAATTCAAAACTAAAAGATTTATTATGAAATACATAAGGTTTGATAAGTTAGCCATGTTATGAATAAGTTTAAAATATTACTGTAATAATATTATTTAACAGAGTATCTTAAGAATTATTGCTTTAAATAAAATAAATCATACTTCCGGTTTTTACAGAAACCATGGCGCGTCTGTTATGTTTAAGTTTGGCTATTAAAAATATCGTCTCCTAAATACTACAACTAGGTAACTTGAAAATAGTCGTTTCTCAGGATATCAATTTAAAGTTTTGAGGAGAAAAAAAATCACAAAATGATGGCAGAACTTGTGCTTTTGGTTCTAAAATGATAGCATAATATTGAATGAGCTAAAATCTTTTTATTGGTAACAACAAAAATATTTTAATCTTTTGAAACAAATAGGCAAAATCGACATATATGGTTCTAATACGTTAATAAATATTAGTGTATAAGAATAAAAATAAGTTTATTAGTTCAAAGTAGTACAATACACATTTATAAACATATTAATATAATAATTATAGAAACCATAAGTTAATCACTATTGCTTATTTCACTTTCAGAATCTGCGTTAGGTTTTCCGCGAGTATCCCCCACAAAAGGGAGGTTTTTGTAGTAATGTGTATATTCGTCCGTCAGGGGCCCGCGTAGCGCAAGCGGTAGTGTGCTTGCCTCGCATGCCGGTGGTCGTGAGTTCGAATCCTACCGCCGGCAAGAACAACTAGACATTTTTAAAATGTCTATAGGCCCCAGGTCGACTCAGCCTGAATAAAATGAGTACCTTGGGTAAAACCAGGGGTAATAATAGGCGGTTGAAGCGTAGCACTGGCCATGTTACCTTCCTTGTATACCGTAGGCCCTAGATATAGCAGACTACCCTGCTATACTCCCAAAGCCGCGTGCGGTATAAAACGGGAGACTATTATTATTTGTATATTCGTTTGAAAGTGCAGGAGGATTCATGTGAGAGAGTGATGTAAGATCATTATACTTTGCTAACTGAATTGGTATTTTAGATTGATACAAGGGTCTCAGAGAATTTAGTAAAGTAGCTCTAGTTTTTCTTATGCAGTTTAGAACTCTAAAATCGTCGTCAAAGTTTTCTTTAAATCTAAGAATAAAAGGGGTTGATTTAGAACTATGCATCCAACACATTTTCTGCCAACGCACTGGTTGGCGGTTCTCATCTTCCTTTCTAAAAATCATATTTCGTTTTGCATGAGTTTTCCAGTCAAATATTTGCTCCTGTGTTCAATAGTCGTGTAGAGTATACGGTTTATCACCCTTTCGTCTAGCGCACCTAGCAATAGTTTTCCAGTCTTGACTCCAGTTTGCTTTACCAACCCGTTTTAGTTCTGTAGAAATTTCTGAGTGCATAGAGTCGCACTCCATTTCGCTATGTCCCACCGTTAAGAACATGAGATCTATATTATTCACGTGTGGAATCTCTTGTACAGACGTTAAACACATGCCAGCCACAAACTTAATAAGGTTTTGTCCCCCACATTTGCCACAAAACACGAAATTTTTTCAACAGAATTAAGTTAGGTTAGGTTAGGTTAGGTCAAAGATTTGAAGAAGCTGTAAAGACAACTAGCAATCTCAGAGCTGCCACGTTTATCTTCAACTTCTGTCCACATAAAGCAATCTCCCTGTTTCGAAACATCATAAATAGTAAAATTAAAAGTCTTCAGACGTTGTTTATAAAATAATGCGTTATTGGTAGGATCATTGGGTACAAGAAGAACTTGCTGAATGTCGAAATTACAACTAACAATTTTTCCATTAGAGTTTTCTGCCATCTGTTTTCGTTATCTTTTTTCATCTCGAGCTCTGTCTTTTGCTACTAAATGTGCTTGATATTGAGTTCCGGGGCGGTCTTGTCATTTGTAGGGGTATTATAAGCCATACGAACGCGGCACTGATCTTTTCTTGGACGGTAAAACCCAAGGTTGTATTCTTCAGTGAAGACTTTCCTATAAATAGAAACACTAGCAACTTCTTGATTTTTCTCATCGCATTCTTTTTTATACATCGTGTACATTAGAGTTATATTTAAATCAGAAGATAAATATTTTCGCTGTATTTTCGCACGGCAGTAATGCAAAGACATAACTGGGAACTTCTCTATGTGACATCTTACAGTTTCTAATGTTTCGGGTCGTGTGACCTTCTCTACATTTTTTGTGGGTCGTGTGACCCTTTTGTCCTCTAAAATTGTATTTTCGTTTGAAGAGAGAGAAAGAAGAAAGCGCAAAAAGTCAAAGGAAGGTCATATTTTGGATTCACAAACTAAATGGGAAGAGATTGGACCTAAGGTAGTTTCATACCCTATTTCCTGACTTGATCAAAGATTATTGCAAGGTCTTCCAGTACTTTTGAATGTCCCACATGAAATTTGAAGAACTTTTAAATGTCCTGAATATGGAATTTCAAAGAAAAAAAATCAGAGAACCAATAGGCACTAAAGAGAGATTAAAGTATTCCGGATGTCGCAAATTGTATAGTGGGGATGTCCTGAAAATCTTATTTCGGACTTTTCGAGGACGGCGGAGACTGCGAATCGCCCTGTTTTGACCTTGACAAGATAAATAAGCGCATCACAAAGGAAATCAATGCCAATGTTTGTTGAAAAATTCCGTGCGTACCGTTCGACCGTGCTGTCTTTACCCAGTGTGTAAGAGCTAAAGCTTAGAAGTGAACCTTCTAATAATACGGTCAATTAGATACTTAATAGATCGCGGCTTATGTACTTTAATTAACTAGTACAACTATGGACGAAGCATTTCATCAATGTATGCTGTTTCTTCTCGTATGCCTTAGTTATTTACCTGCTTTTAGATGTAATATTTTATTGTACTGATGTTAAGATTTGATTTCACTTATAGTGCCTCTACAGATCTCTTACACGTATTTCGTTATGAGCAGGACTCATTAGAGCGACTGGATGAACGTGAAATCTAATCCTTTTCGTCAAAGGAAGTAATAATAAAATGACTTCATACAGACGCATACGGCGCCAACTGAGAATAAAACATAGAGATCCCAAGATTTCTCAGAGTACGAAACCAAAATGCAGATTTTTGCCTAAATCTGTGTTTTCTATAATTTTTAAAACAAGCAGACAATGAATGGACCGACATGAAGAATCTAAAATTGTTTTCACCACATATCGATTCATCTAGACCTCTACAATTCGCTTATATCTATTTCATCATAGCAGGAATGAATACCATAGATCAATGGAATATTCAGGGTCCCTACTATATTATACAGAATTAGCAAATAATACAAGATTATAACTATTAAAATAAAAAAAAATTAACATTTGGGCATCTAGTGAAAAAAGAGAAATGTAATGATGAGGGGAGATTATTTGGGATGATTATACAAATGATCATGAAAGGAGTAAAAAGCGCAAGCAGGCGTAGTAGTACCAGGTCATAAATCTGAAAGTAGTTTACTTGCAGTTTATTAGCACTCATCAAAATATTTGTAATAAGTTTGAAATACCAACATTTGATTAGGGAAGGAGCCCAAAAAGAATATTCCTCAAATATACCATAAATAAGGCTTTGTACTTAAAGAGCTTCTAATGTAGTTATAAGATCTAATATAAAAATGGTGTAGCCTGGTGTCTTCAGTAGGCTACACCTAACATTCATGACAGTTCCCTTGAGACGCGCAAACACCCACGCATGTTTCTTCATAGTACAATATGCCTTTAACGCACGTGTTGCTTTTCTTTTGGTCACATACTAGCAGTATGACATACTTAATTCTTATTGTCACGTTAAGGATGAATGGCACGATAATATACTATTAATGTATTCAAGACGATTTATATATTGAATTACTTAATGTTGTCTTTTCCAATCTAGCTATTTAAAACATTCAAAACATTTAATTTTAAACAATAATTATATTCTTTACTTACAGAATCCTCCCCAATGTCAGCCCGCAACTTTCCTCCTTCCTTCTGGAACAGCCAGCATTACGGCGGGGCTTCCAGTAGTTCCCACCATGCAACAGATCTCTATTCAGATCATTACCATCCGGGCGATGCCTGGTACCAGTACAGTCAACACCACAGGGCAGTACACGATTACCATCACCACAACATGGCGGCGCAATACGGCGGATTGCTACTTCCTGGATCAAGACTGCACATGGGATCACATGCCCCATGCAAAGCGATGGACTGGCAACATCCTTCCATCGAATCACCATACTCTTCCTATCCCACAATGTCTGGTAAGTTAAATGACTAATATTTTGCTTGCTTTGTTGAAAAATATTATCAGTTCTTAAAAAACGATCATTTTATAGTTCGGCAGTCGATAGAAAGGGGAAGAAGTAGGTCATTGTAAACAAGGCATAAAAAAATAACATATATAACTTAGTTAAAACTGGCCATCCAGAACAACTTAACTGATAATATTATTCTTATGGTCGAATAATATATTCATTATCATCACAGTCTGTAAAGTCTACATCTAAATATACATAGACGTATGTATGTGATATTGTGCCGTATACCTATATTCAGTTTTTTGTCAGCCTCTGTATTATTTGTCCACCCTGTCGAAGGTTGATCCCTTACCTATACATGCCTGAAATCTAGGACACTGCTGCCTTGTACGTTTGGTTTATATAAGGTTAATATTTTTCGTCTCGTATCTGGCCCAGTTTCAGTACCTACAACCTTTTTCTAGCTCTTGCCAATATCTTTTGATCTCTCAGCGTTAATCCCAACAACATAGATCGCTCCATAGTTCTGTGATTCACTCTTTTTTTACATAGATCTGTTAGTGTTAGGTATTGCGACCATCAGCCAACACTGGGTATTATATTGCTTTTAAATATCGTATTTTCCAGTTTGCGTCAAACCGTTCAAGCTATTTTTATTGTCTTTAAATATTGCAGGTTTGATTATGTCGATATATTTAAAATTAGTGACATAAATATTTCTAAGGGCTCAGTTATATGTGTGCTAATGTCGTCGCGTTAGCAGCGCCGCGTTAGCCTCGGTCTAACTGGAAAGTTTGCCCTACTTGTGCTTCTTCATCCTTATGACGTCGACCAAATCTTTGATTCATCCGCACTTGGGGCCGATTTTACAATGGTAGGACCAAAGAGAGCCGTATTACTTACCAACTCATCTGTAAGAAGCCGTTGATCAGTAAGTAGAGGATTGCTTATACCGGCAATCACTCAAGTTTCTTAAACATGTATTCCAACAGCATTTTAAACATTCCAATATTTATACTGCGATAATGTAACTAAACTTCACATATATTGCCCCTGCTACCACTTTTTCAAACTCTTTTTAATTGAAACAACTTAATTTTTTTTTACCGTTTAAATATACGGGGATTCAATCTCTTTTTAGCGCCACATGTTACTCTTTTCACGAACAGCAACAGACTGACTTCTTCTCCTCTTTTAAAATCTCGTCAAACATACAAATACTAATACCATCTCTATTTTCAACCAATGATTTTTAATATTTCAAACAAACAAACAGAAATTCCCATTTTCATAAAATTTATATTTTACTTTTTTTCGATACACTCCCAACAAAAAAATAAAAGACCTTGGAGAGTACTGTTTACTATTGCTATGCGTCTTTTTACCTCGTCGGTTGTCGTGTTTATTGTATTTACTAGCGATCCAAGATATGTGAATTCTTTGACTTGCTCAAACATATGGGTATTAATTTGGAATCTATGTTAAACATTTTGAGTGTTTTAGCAACCAACACAATTTTGATATTTTCCTTTTTTACAATAAGTCCTAGTTTACCTGTCATGTTCGTTAAACACTGTACTTGAGGTAACAAGAGAGCTCTTTCCGGACGGCAGATGTCATGGTGTATGGAGGGATGAAGGAGCTGAGCGGGCTGTACCCTTTACCATGGATGAACTTGTCGAGGCATTGGGTTCACTCAAGACTCGTAGGTCCCCCGGACTGGATCAAATACCACCTGAGGCGATAAAGGGTCTAGGACGGGTGGAGCCTGCGTGGCTTCTGGAGCACATAAATGCATTGCTGGAAGCACAAACCTTTCCTGAACCTTGGAGGACATCGAGGTTAATACTGCTTCCCAAAGCTAGGGAAAAGTATCGCCCCATTTGTCTTCTTCCATGCATCAGTAAGCTATATGAAAGGATGCTGCAAGTACGCATAGACGAAATGATTGAGAGGTTAGGTGGTTTATCTCGGAGTCAATTTGGTTTTTGTAAAGGGAAAAGCACAATTGATGCAATCATGAGTGTAGCTCAACATGATGGCACAACAGAGGGAATGAACATCGTTGGGCGGCCCTGCTGTTATTTGATGTTAAGAATGCATTCAATACGCTGCAGTGGAACGAGGTAATGAAGGCAATGGAGGAGAGAGAATGTCCTGGTTACCTGATGAATTTTATGGCGGAGTATCTGTCCGAGAGAAGGATTATGGTGGAAAAGGGCACGATCGTGGACGTGACGGCCGGGGTACCCCATAGATCCCTTGGGCCCGACGCTCTGGAATCTGGCATATGACGGGGTTATGCATTGTGAATACGGAGAGGGTACAACCCCCTTCGCATTCGCGGAGGACCTCGCTGTACTGGTAGTAGCCCGGGATGAGCCAGATCTCAAATACCGGGTTCGGAACGCAGGTGGCGTCGTAAAAAATGGATGATGCAGCACGGACCTAAACTTGCGACAGAGAAAACCGAAGCCATTATTCTGAAGGGGGCAAAGAACAGGCAAGGTGTTGAATTAAAATGTGCGGGAGGATGTCTAACACCAAAGAAACAAGTGAAGTATCTAGGAGTGACATTGCACCAGAATGGAAAATGGGGGGAGCACGTTCGGGAGGTAGTCCAAAAGGCTGCGAATAGTGTGGCTGCGTTGGGGACAGTGATGCCGAACATTGGAGGACCCAAAGCCGAAAGGAGGAGGGTCTTACACGGTGTTGTACAGTCTATCGTCCTCTACGCGGCACCAGTCTGGAGCGAGGCGGTAGAGATAACGGCCTATAGGAGTCTTATGGAACGAGTATACAGAACAAGTCTGTTGCGAGTGGCATGCGCCTACAGGACTGTGTCCGCGGCAGCCTTTTGGACCATCACTGGATGTGTTCCGTTGCATATTTTGGCGGTGGAAAGAAAAGAGCTTTATGAGAAAAGAGGCCCAAACCTTACTGTGGCTGAGAGAAGACAGGTAAGGAAAAGGTCAGTTGAAAGATGGCAAGAAGAATGGAACAATACGGAGGATGTGGCATAGTGGACGAAAATTCTGATCCCTAACATAAGAGCTTGGGTGGACTGTGGCCACAGGTGATTGGATTATTTCCTGACGCAGGTGCTCACAGGACACGGGTGTTTTAGGGCCTACCTTTATAGGATCGGTAAGGCTGATACAGATGAATGCCTATATTGTGGATACTCGGACACTGTGATACATGCGATGTTAGATTGCAGCACATGGATAGTGGAAAGGAACAGAATGGAGAGAAAGACAGGTGTGAATTTTGTTACAGTGAGAGAAATGACTGAGAGAATGATTGAAAATGAATTAGGTTGGATTAATATACCCAGTTATATCCGTGCAGTGATCAAAAAAAGGAAGAGGAAGAAAGACAGCTGGACCAACGGCAAAGGTAGAGTGAATGATGTTGAAAGGTGAAGTTAGAACAGTGGGTCACACTTTTTGAGTTAGAATGTGTGAGTTTGAGTGTGGGGAAGGAGGAAATGCCCTTCTGGGAATGATGCCGAACTAGGAGTGTGGATGTGTATGAATGGAGAATGAATGAATAAAGGTAGTGCTTCGGAAGTGATGCCGGCCTTACAGCGGCCATTCCGCTTCCGGATCGCTGGATGACAGAGGAGGGTCTGGTTTAGCAGGTAGGCGTTTGGCGAGAGGGCATTTTAAAGTAACTCGGGAACTATCGCCGGAAGTACGAAGAACGAATCCTGCACTAAGGATAGTCAGGCGGCGTCCTGCACTGAGATGTCTTTTGAAGATTCCAGACCCCCCTCTATAAAGACGAAAAAAAAACTTCTCTCATACTTCGACTCACTATACCTAACGGTATCTCAGCGAGTGCGAGAAATTTTGTCGATCTATTAAAGATGGTTCCGTTCAGTCTACTATTTATCTGCCTGGCTACCTTTTCCAAGGCAATGAAGACGAGTCATCCTAGCACGTCTTCCTGTCTTAGACCATTATTATTATTTAAGAACATACAGTTTCCTCCTTGAATTCTATTGTACTAACTTACGGCTTGCATTGACAGTTTTGTCATTTTAACTTTATAAGGTGGGATCGCGAAATCTACCATTTCATTATATAGTAAAGTTCTTTTAACACTGCCATAGACTGCTTTGAAGTTCGCGAAGAGATGGTATGTATTTATATTATCTAGTGACTTTTCTAAAATTTGCCTTCCAGCAGTGGGTCCGCATTGGTAATGTCTAATAATTACCTTTTTAAAGAGTTCTCTCTTAAAATAAACTCTCCTAAAAAGTATGTTGCCGAATATTTTACATGTAGATACTAACAAAGTAATTGTTCTACAGTTCTTGAAATCAAGTTCATCTTGTATGTATTAGCGTGAGTGTATCAAATATGTATTAGCATGAGTTCTTCCTGCTTTTCCAGGTTTTGGCATTAATATAATTTCGGTTTCTTTCTATTGTGACTGAAAAAATCCTCTTCTGATATAAGCGTTTATTATATAAGTAATGATTAGTTAATAAGATCTGGCATTAACAATGTCATATCTAGAGGACCTTTTTGGATTTATCCTAGTTTTTATAAAGTTGTTACATGTTAAACGAAAAACATTTTGGTTAAGTGGGTAGGATGAGTCCAGGACTTTACAAATTTCTTTATAGTTATCCTCTCACTATGTGTTCTATATATTTGAAAAACATTTTTCATGTATAAATTTATAGACATAAATGATGGGATAAAATTGGCTTATCCCATAAAGGCGATTTCAGAGAATAAATTAAGGTATTTAACAATTTTAAACATTTAAAAGTTTGATAATAATTATTTATTACATTAGACTCTATGTTATACCTACCATTTTCTAGAATCTTTAACAAAAGAATTAAATATCTCACAAATTATACGAGTACATAATATAATTCATGTAGGCACGTAGGTATATCTGTTTTGCGTTTCCTTGTTTTGACATTTCCCGTAGGTATATTAAAGCATCCAGCTAATCCGACGCGCCAATTCAATCAATAAACC